TCACCCACCCCCACCCCTCACCTCCCCCTCCTCCCCCGGCTCCAAGCTGTCAGCAGAGCCGCCTATAAAGCACAGAGGACCGGGACTCTGCGGAGGACAGAAGCCCAGACTGGAACACCTCTTCCCTGACTGAAACCCTGGATGATTATAAACAGGAACTCACAGAAAACCGGACACTTGGACGTAAAGGAAGACCTTTTTTTGGGGTGAATAAGTCGCCAGTGGCTGCATTAAAGTGCTGTATTGGAGTGTTTGAGAGGAAGTGATTTCGCAGAGGATTTGGGATGCTGGGTCCCCTTGCGCTCCGCTCCTTGCTGTGCGTGCTGAGCTGCGCGTGGCTGCGCACCGGAGCCTCGCGCCTGAAGTCTCCGGCTCTGCCCATCCAGTCCGAGAGGGAGCCGCTGCCCTCCAAAGGCTTGGCCGGTAAGAAAAACACATATATTTTACTTTTATTTACGAGTTTTTACAGTTGTGACCATGTCTTGTTTGCTATGATACCATTACAACACCACCGTACCAAACCTCCCTTAAAAAAGTGTCATTTTTAAGGTGATCAGTGCTGAGCGTGTTGTGTTTATGGGAATTTGAAGTTACTTTGTATATGTTATCAATTAATGGGAGCCACTAGGCAATTCGTCTAGCTTCCAATACACAAACAGCCTAAATGAGCATCATTTAAAGAAACTACAAGTTACTCCAATTCCAACTTGGCTATAATACCACTGTGTGAGAACGAGTCATACCAAACCCCGTAAAAAAAAGTTTCATTTTTAATGTGAACAGCGCTGGGCATGTTGTGTTTATGGGACTTTAAAGTAACTATGCATTTGTCATTAATTAAGAGGCTTCAGTTTTTCATTCGGCTTAACAAGATGAACACATTACAAACAATTTAAGAAAATACAAGCTACTATAATTCCAACCATGTTTACTTTTGTAGTACCAATATGTGAGTACAATAAAGTACCAAATCTCAGTTAAAAAAGTGAAAAATGTTACCAGTCGTAGGCATGTTGTGTTTATGGGACTGTAAAGAAAGTATATATTGTTTATGGTTTAAGAGGGGCCATTTGTCAATTCGGCTAGCATCCTATACACATCAACATTCCTGACCATTTACTCTCACAAACGTGGGCAGCAGAGCACTAAGAGACCATTTAAAAGTATTTTATTTAATATTGAATGCAGTTACTTTATTCCAAAATTATGCCGAATTGATGTAAACATTACTAGCCTACGGTAGTGACAGTATGACACAAAGATATGCTTCTTTTGGCTGTAAAAACAAACAAAACATGTTCAATTGGAAGATTTCCCCTTGAAGCCTGGTGTGTTGTGTCCTTGGACCTTTTAGCACAAACAGTCTCCGCAGTAATGGACTAGGCCCACACAAACTCCGTTTTTTCCCCAAGTTGCCTTGAATTGTTCTTGAGCTCCATGTGTAAACCAGAGGCAAACATCTGAGTCATAACCGCAGTGGATGCCATTTGATTGATGTGTTAAAAAGCCCCTGCTACAAAGCTCACTGCGGTTGTTATAAGGTAACTACTCTGCAGTTCAAACTGTGGGAACTCCACGTTAAACGCTGCCTGCCTTACGGTGCAACTCTCTGGAAACTGTAATCAATCGACTTTCCATTACATTACAAGCATTGGCTGCTCTGAGATGATTTATTTGTGCAGAGACAGAAGTGGCAGCCTCACAGTTTGGCTCTCCTTTAACTGGACTGCTCAAAGTGTGCAGTCACTTTAATGAAGGAATAATGTGAACCAGGTTGGTAGCAGCGCGCAGAAACACACACACACACACACACACACACACACACACACACACACACACACACACACACACACACACACACACACACACACGGCTGTTATCCTAACCCAAAATCCCTGAGATATTCATAGTAACACAGCGTGACTAACACTCAATAATGGCTTCACTAGTTAAAGTCAAAGCTGGGTTTTATCTCCTGTAAAAACACCGAGCCGGCAGCATACATTAGAGCCTTAATGTGTTTTATACGGTTATGGCTCTAAGCACACTGGATTTTGAGTGAAACAATAAAAAAGTGCAGTTAACATTGTTTCTTAATGGACCATTCAAAGGCTTTTTTTTTGCCAAGAAGGTGTAAGTAGAAGCTGTTAACATACGTAGCCTACTGGTCGAGAATATTTGAGCTTTTTGTGGAATCAGATTGAGCAAATGAAACATCAAATGGCAAAAGAGTGCAAGAGGCCCGTTTTTGGCACGTTGTTCCACTAAACCAAGGCAGAACATTGGCTCATGTAAGACCATTTGGTTTGAAAATGTTTTCATTGTGTTTTTGTTGAGCAGAAAACACAATACCAAAGCCCTTGCATCATGGAATTTTAAAGACTTTTTGAGATACTGGGATTTCATTTGGTGTTCATTGAAGTGTAAATAACACATTCTGCATGAGTTAGGAAAGGGTTAGTGCCAAAATCACTGAGTTCAAAATGTTTAATATGTATTTATTTTTTATAGAAATGCTCAATATATTTTGACTTCAGTGAATGGTACCGCAGTTTGATCAACATCAGGGTGTGTTATAACAAACATGTTTTACCCAAAATGCAATGCCAAAACCCCACTTTCTGTTAATTCCAACTAATCAGTCTTTATTTCAGTTTCCCTTTCTGACTGTTAGCACAGAAAAGATATCAATGAAACCCCTGTGATATAAAATACTCAACGTGGCACTTCTGCCTCTTTGGCTCAAATGTCCCGTGGTGTGGGTGTACAGTAAACACAGCGTCAGCGCCTAGCCTTACAGTCATTGTTTCATTTCAATGCTGATATTCTGAACCAAACCAAACTGTCCCAAAGCTCCACTTTAAAGTACCTCCTCACTTACGGTCTCATAGCATTGACAGCTGAATCCTAAACTCCTCACGTCATTAAGTCTTTCTAAAAGTCTGGCCTACGTTATGTGTGTTTCTGGGAATCTGTGATCGTCCGTCAGAGGAAAATTGAACGTCTCCCCTGACTGCTCGTGGATCATTGAGAGGAAACGGGATGAGATATCCAAAACTCATGAAGCAGAGAGATTCAGTTTCCTCCTGCATGCCCGGGCAATGAGCTGTGCAAGATGTATCTGTTGTTATATATAACGAGGGTGCATGCATGGCTCAGAGTTTCATGTCAGACCATTCATAAAATCCACCTCTTAAATATTAAGAACAGTTCGTCTAAATATCCTGTGTTCCCCATCATTTATGCAAAAGCACAAACCCCAGGTTCCCCTCTGTTTGTCATCATGTCTGCCTCTGGTTTGGAAAGAGACAAATACTGTTGAGTTATTGAGACCCTGAAGATGTTTAATCACCGTGTTTGTGTTGCAGGATGCTCGTTCGGAGGTCGCTATTATTCTCTGGAGGACACATGGCACCCAGACCTGGGCGAGCCCTTCGGAGTCATGCACTGTGTTCAGTGTTACTGCGAAACTGTGAGTTTTTATCAGTCAATGCCATTTCCTCCAAAGACTTGCTGTAAAAGTGTCCCATTGGACAAAGAGCCAAGATAACAGCAGCTACACAATGCCATGATCACACAGAGTGATGCAGGCATGTATTAATGTAACTAACCCGGTATCGTTCAAATGCACCACCCTAATTACTCATTCGGGACCAAAATGTCCACTGCCAAAAACTTTGATAAAAACCATATTCAAATATTTTTCCACCACTTTTTTGGGTTCAAACTTTAAATCAGCTTCAGTCCTGATCAAGAATACCAACTATTTAATCATTTTCAGGATTTTAACCCTTTAAATACCATTTATTATACATGAAATCCCTGTGGTTTTTCTTGAGAAAAACCGAAAATTATCACAGTCTTGGATATGTCAAAGATTAGCAACAACAATTGATGTTGGTGTATTATTAGTTTTTACACAGAGTTAGATTTAAAAAGTACTTCAGGACACGAGAAAATACCCTTCTTACAGAACAATCATGCCGTTTGCAGTAACACGAAAAAGTTATTGACAAATGAAACGTGAAAAATGACACCATTTGGACAAAGATCTCGGAGGGCTAGAGTCCAGGTTTGATGTTATGATGGACGAACAAATGTGTGTTTTAATTCAGTTGAATTCAGCCAGGAGAAACGTTTTGATTGGCTAATGATTTTTGTTGAATTCTGTTTCCCTGGCAGCAAAAGAGCCGTCGTGGGAAGGTGTTTGGGAAAGTGAACTGTAAGAACATCAAACAGGACTGTCCCGAGCTGGACTGCTCTGACGCGGTGCTGCGGCCCGGACACTGCTGCAAGTCCTGCCCCACAGGTAACACACACACACAACATAAGCATCTCCTCCTGCTGTCCTCTGGCTTTCAGAGACACATTCATCCGGTTTGAAATGCAACAGTCAGCTGGGAAAACAAGCAAATGGTATTTAGGGTCTTCTACTTCTTCCTCCCATGTTGCACTCCCAGTATGTGCCCTTTAACAAGGTGACATCCTCCAGGTATGAGATAAACCAGAACATGTTCCTGCTTCCTCCTATGTTTGCCTTCTTCCTGCCCCTCTGCTTATTCAGTCGCTCTGCAGAGCAGCTGTTAGAGGCAGGGAGCGGGTCGATTGATTTTTCCTTCAACCGCATCAAGAGAACATTTTGTGTAACGAGCCGCAACTAACGGTACCACCCAGGTAACACTGACCCTGTATACACACCGCTGCACACACACACCACCTTATTACACACACACACACACACACACACACACACACACACACACACACACACACACACACACACACACACACACACACACACACACACACACACACACACACACACACACAGTGTTGCCCACACAGCGCTTTACCTTTACTTTCCACTCCCTGACACACAGCATAGAAAAACAGCATTCTGTGTGTGTGTGTGTGTGTGTGTGTGTGTGTGTGTGTGTGTGTGTGTGTGTGTGTGTGTGTGTGTGTGTGTGTGGTCAAGTTTTAAGGAAAATGTTGAGTGTGTTTGTCTTAGCCTTGGCACAAAAGCAGCTAGTATGTTGGTGCAAGTGATGGAAAACGGTGTGTGTGTGTGTGTGTGTGTGTGTGTGTGTGTGTGTGTGTGTGTGTGTGTGTGTGTGTGTGTGTGTGTGTGTGTGTGTGTGTGTAATGATTAGTGCACCTGGGGATACAGCATCGCTAAGTGGGGAAAAGTGAGAGTGACACTACCCAGAAGCCCTCTGGTGCAGAGCAGTGAGGGAGTGAGAGAGGAATGATGAGATCGGATATTTGTGTGTGTGTGTGTGTGTGTGTGTGTGTGTGTGTGTGTGTGTGTGTGTGTGTGTGTGTGTGTGTGTGTGTGTGTGTGTGTGTAACAGTAGTGCCTATATATTCATGTCCACACACTCCTTTGATAGCTAGGTCATCTCCTGACAGAATACACACTTCGTGGAGGCTCTAAATACAGATCTCAGGAATGATTATTTTTAGATAAACGTCAGTGTCAAGCAGCGGAGGACCTTAGAGAAAGCACTGCAACACAAAAGGGAAAGGAGGAGGGGAGAGGGGGGGGGGGGGAGAATACTTCACGTGTTACATCACCGCGGGCGAGGGGACAGAGAGCAGGGAGGATTAAAATGGAGATTAGAGTTATGAGGTGCCGGCACACGGACACATTTCTTCATGTTAAAGGTTTGCAGCGAGAGAACGGTCACGTGGTGGGATGCATGCAGCAGATGTGCACGTCTGCGCTTCGTCAGGAGAGAGTTGGCACTACACGTGGCTCAAACCGTTAGGGACGTATGTTAGGTCGATTTACAGGAAACATGTTGATGGAAAATGTTGTTTTTCAGCCTCCAAATATGTAGATTCTCTGTTTTTCTCAGTTTGATATCAGATGAAAGGAAATGCCTTTGAGTCTCCCTCTTCTTGAGTTTTGGTCTTGGTTTTTATGTTTTTTCAAGCAACTCCTTTTCACTCTCACTTTCGGCATATGCTTTGGTTTTAGACTGATCACCTTGGACAAAGTTCACATTTATTTAGATAGATTTCAAACATTCAGACAATTCACAGAAAGAATATCATTTGTTAATTATTTTTATTGCAAAAACATTATTTAATTCCGTTTTTTAGCCTTTCAAATATGTATATCCACTGCTTTTCTCTTACATCACATTAAAGTGATGTTGGATATTTAAAGACACCATTATGGACCTTGAGAAACTGGGATGGACATTTGTCAATTTTTTTGAAATGTTATAGCCAAAACCAAGTCACAGCCTAATGTGCACCACTCCGCCCTCTCTGCTAAACTTCTGCAGCCTTGCTGAATCTCCCCTGCCTGTGTTCATGTCTCTTTTCCCCGTGTCTATAGATCTGTGGAGTGTGGAAGAACCTGGGGAAGCCTCTGATCCGTCAGCTGCAGACGGAGCAGATGAGGATCGTTATGAGCTCAGCGAGCGGCGGACAGAACGAGGTGGAGGGGAAGATCATCAAACACAGAGCGTTGTTCGCTGGTGAGTCAGATACGGCTCTCTCTTTGTGTGGCAGCACACTGGAGGCGTTCTCATGTCATCTTACAAAGGCTTGCAAGGTGTTAGAAAAGTCTCCCTGGTCCCCGGCTTGAGCCTCAACATCAGGATCCATGTATCTGTGATCCTCTCCAGAATGGAAGTAGTCATCACATACAGAGCATCAACTAGTTCCTGAACAGTGTCCTTCACATGCTGATATCCAAGAGAGGGAGTTACACAGTCACAACATGGAGGAATACCGTCTCAAAATCCTGACTTTTTTCTCAAAATCGTCTAAAAAAAATTCTGACTTTTTCTCAAAATTAGCCAAAAAAAATTCTGACTTTTTCTCAAAATCGCCTTAAAAACAATTCTGACTTTTTCTCAAAATCGCCCAAAAAAAAATCTGACTTTTTCTCAAAATCAACTTAAAAACAAATTCTGACTTTTTCTCAAAATCACCCAAAAAATTATTCTGACTTTTGTCAAAATCACGCATTTTTTTTAAACTTTTCCTCAAAATTCTTACTTTCTCAAAATCACCTAAAAATTCTGACTTTTTCTAAATACTTAAAAATGTTAATAATCCCTGGTCACCAGCTTGAGCTTGAATCTCAGGATCCATGTATCTGTGATCCTCTCCAGAATGGAAGTAGTCATCACATACAGAGCATCAACTAGTTCCTGAACAGTGTCCTTCACATGCTGATATCCAAGAGAGGGAGTTCCACAGTCACAAGATGGAGGGATAGAAAGCAGTATTCAATGTTTACTTCAGATTAGCTCCACGTCAGAAATGGAGGAATAGAAAGCAGTATTCAATGTTTAGAATGCATTTACTCATGACGGTGTTGTTCATGTTTACA